TACAGCCCACTTCTTCGGATGCATATAGCTATATGCATCCGAAGAAGTGGGCTGTAGTCCACGAAAGCTTATGCTCTAATAAATTTGTTAGTCTCTAAGGTGCCACAAGTACTCCTGTTCTTCTTTTTACAAGTGATAAAGGTTTTCTCACAGTCAGTCATTAAATACAGCACTGTTTTACTTTTCTTTTTCCTTTGTTTCCATCTTGGGGAGGTGTTGGTTTTGTTTGTTGGTTGGTTTTGGTTACCCCTCTCCCCAATTCATTCATTTGGTGTGCTTCCCACAGGGAAGAAAACAAGGACATGTGTATGAGTTTTAACCAGGCAGCACCTTTATTATTCAAATTACATTCAAGGTTTCCATGGGGAAACAGATCACCACAGTCACTCCCACTCCACTGATCCTTTGCCAGTTTTTGGGCCCCCCACTGCACAGGGAGCCAATCACACTAGAAAGCTCTCTGTGCACCTCCATTCACCCACTAGCATCCCTCTCTCTTTCAGGTGTTGAGATGAGAAGGGACCTCAAACCCCAGCTAGCACCACATCAAGTGTATTGGCAGGGTGTTTCCTATAGGATAATGCCTAATTCCTTCCCCTCCCTGTAAAGGCTGCTGTGTCCCATGCTAGGAAGAGGAATCTCTCACTTCCACAGGGTAAAAAATGAGATAGACTAAGCCCTGGTGTCCTGCACTTAAATCTTTCCACCAAGAGGAGTTAAGTATATTCCAGTTCCTGTCAGGGATGTCAGACAAGCCTCTGGTCAGAATACAATGTGCACGTCACAAGTATGGACCATTTAGGGCAAGCAGGATTCCTTCCCGGGGTGGTTCTGCTCAGCTCCCCGTTTGAGGGCACACCAGGAGTGATATGGAAGAAATTCCAAACTTGAGCCATTTTCCCCACTGTAAAGAGTGTTCAGTTCATGCAGTGAGTGACTGGTGCTCTCACAGTGGAACCAGTCTGTGGGTACATGAAACACCCATCTCCCTGGAAGAATTGTGCACTGGCACTGACCAATGTGCTTGAACAGGACTGGTATGCAAGGACAGAGATGGACACATTTAAAAACCTTTTAAAGCATAATCTAATAATCCAGACACTGGCAGGGAAGGGGGGGAGAAGGGGTTAAACTCCCACCTTCACTAATGCTTTGTCTTGAGGACCCAGTTAGGCCATCTGGCTCAGGGGATTCTACTTTAGATTCTCCCATTTAACAGACAAGACTACAGGCCTGCAAAGCTGAAGGCTGCACCTTATCATGCTTTGGAGACATGGCTTAGTGTCTCATGAGCACAGAGAGACAGAGGATATCAGGAGCTACCATATTTCCAGCATGACAGAGATGCTAATATAGAGGTGGCTCCTTACTGGAGAGCAAAGTCACTTTAGCTCTGTAAGCAAGGAGAAGTCTCTCTTGAGACATTACATCAGAGGACGTAAACTAAAAACCAGAGTTCTGCACAGCCTCACATACAAACCCCTTCCCGCATCTCATACCTGTGTCTGCTTAGTGTACAGTTTTCACAGGGTTTTTTCAAGCACCTTTCACTAGATGATCTATTCATACCCGCATTGTCTTGGCTTTCCTTGGGAAGCATGGAGTTCAGACAGGTGTGGGAATAGTCATTTGCCTTCTAGTAGCATATTATTGTCTTCCCCTAGCTTGTATTGTACATTAGAATGTAAAAGGCTGCATTGTCATGGACAAAGACTCCTCCCCCTGTGCTCCAGTTAGGGGTTTGCCCTAATATAGCTATAAATGTGCAAACCACTATCTAAAGTTTATAAGGCTGAAGCAGGGCTTCAACCCATTAAACTGCTGTAGGAAAGGACCCTGAGTGAATATTATATTTGGAGGGGGACACTCCTCAATAGATTTCTCATTATATTAGACCACATATCAGAGGGATAAAGTTACCAGCATCATCAACACTAGACATACCACCTATTGCCAGTGATTGAAGGTTTCCATTTTCACTTCCAAAAATGTCAGTTGCTATATTGTGCATAGTCAGGCTGCAAGAATGTCTAGTATCCCAGAGGAGATGAAGGAGAGATCACAACCATAGGGGAATAGAAGGGGACTCTGTACTAGAAGCAAGAACCAAGCTAAGGAGTGTCAGACCGAGCTCCAGATCAGGGTGATCAGTCCAGCCACCACACTGCCCTGCTGGAGCAATGATGGGCTCAGGGCATGAACCAACTAGTTTGGCACAGCAAGGCAGTCACACAAGGTAAAACCCACCCCACAGGTGAGGGGGATGGCAAACTGGGCCCACTCCCAGAGTAGCATTTGGCTGCTGATCACCATAAATCACAGATAATGATTTTCTTAAAATCAGTCATGAAATATACAGCACTTTTACTTTTCTTTATCTCTGCTTTTTTGTTGTTGTTGTTGTTGATTCCCCCCTCCCCCATTTGTTCTTTTCCAGTTGCAACAATGTGACCTAGAAGAGTAATTTAAAAAAAAGTGGAGTAGAAAGAGTTGGGGAGGGGATTTATTGCCTTATTATTATATAGTATTGGTTATATAAAGAGCCCAGGGACGTTTGTTTGCTTGCTTGCTTGGTTTTCGTATTGGTTTTCTTTGTTAAATCCCACTTGTCTTTCATCTTTGAAAATAGTGATTTCATTAAAAAATGTATTTAATATTTACAGATCATCAAAATAGTGATGGATTATTTATATAATTCCTAAGAGTTTACAGTATAAACATAGAAGTAAATATAACCAGAGGGGGAGATGGGTGTCCCATAAATTTGTTTTTTAAAATAAAATATATTTGTCATATAATTTGTTAGCATCACATTTTCTTTGTGCATTTTCTAATTTTTAATCTTGTTGTCCCGGTTTTCCTTGCATCAGCAGAAAACTTTCACAGAAGCTTTCTCAGCCCTTAATTTAAGAGGCAGAAGTTATGTTTCTCAGCATTTCTTACAATTTTGGGTGGTATCACCACATAATGCCTTCCTCAGACACATTTATGATATATCTTTAAATTCTCTTTCAAAACAAGGCACTAAACAAAAAGCTTTATGAAGTAAATGGTATTATTTATATGAAAATTAAACACAAATGTTTTCAGGATGAAGTTCTAGAAAATCCTAATAGATGTTGTAAACTATATAAATTTTAAAAAAGAAAGGTGATGGAAACAGTAACCTCAGTTTGTAAATAGATTTTTCACTCCATATTGGTTTGATAACATCACTTAAGGATTTTAGGGTGGGATTTTCCTCACAAGCACTGAGGTGTGGCCTAACTGCAGTAACTGGTAATAAAAATCCCTTTCTATTGAGTTCAGCTGGAAATGAGTTAGGCTATAGGTGAGTGATTTTGACAAACCCCTGCTTCCTTTAAATGACTGCATCATGAACATGCTTCCCGGCTCTTTGAGCTCTGGTCAAGTGAAAAATGATCTCTAGGCAATGAGCATTTACTGTGGTTAAGGAAAAAACAGTTTTCTAGAAAACTTGGGTGGAAGAAATGAAAATTTGCATAGTCCAGTAATAATGTTAGATCACTGCAGTTTCTGTTTGCTAAATGTAAACAAATGAACCAAACAGCAGTGGGTTTTATTAAGCAATTTAAGCATAATTCATAATGTAGAGAAAGTCGATAAAATAGACTAACCTATTGCTACAGCACTTGACTGAAAATTGGAATAGCTCTAACCTTTGGATTTGAAAGTGTAGGATAACAACACCCAACTATGGTTTAGAATGACTCATTAAAGAATATATATTTGTATAAAATCAACTCCCCACAATTCCATAATAAAAATATAGATGTCCTCTTTGAAGATACTTTGATTATTGTATTAAATCATTACATTTTCTTATTCATAATAATATTATTATTCAATGTTGAATTTACACGTTATTTTTATTATCACAGCTACCCTGGTTAGATGTCAATAAATACATTTACATTTTGATTAGTAATATATAGAGGTCCTGAAAATAACTTTGTTTTATGTGACACACACAGTTCATGTAAAACAAAAGAAAATACCAAGTGTGAGCTAACTAAGCCAGTATCCTGAAAGCACATGGGATATATTTAATTTCAATCACAAGAAGTCAATAGGAAAGCATATCATTAAGCATTTTGTCTTTACAGGATGAGAAGTGAAATTCTGGCCCCATTGAAGTCAAAGCCAAAAACTCATTGACTTCAATAGAGCCAGATATTCCCTGGCTTGTTGGTCCTGCAATGAGTTGCACACAGGCAGACCCCTGTGGTCCTCATTATGGTATCATTTTGTAATTTTAACCTTCACCTATTGTTCTTATACAGGATGTCCATATTTATTGCATCTCAAATATTTCCACATCAGATTTGTTCAATTTACAAATTTTTTAAGCCAACTGCCACTACTTTAAATTCATCATTCATTCTGAAAAACTGTTTTTATAGTTTTGTTTTTTCTTCTCAACGATCATCAACAATAATGAATACTGCACAGTCCAAATTATTTCCTTAATTGCTCTTGTGCTACCTCATCTCCAAATTCTGATCACAGTTATAACTGTGTGATTTCATGAGCCTACAAGGGGGATGTGCAGCTACAACTGAAGCCACAGATTTGGCCTGTAAGAACATATAATTACTAATGATGACAAACAAGGAAAGAATCAAGGTGAATTTTGGATCCCACTAGCAAGTATTAAGGATAGAGTGGGGGAGGAGAGATGGAAACACAATTTTAAAAAGTAATCTGTAGACTGCATTAATTTAACCTCGAGAATATTGATAAATATATATGGAACTTTATAATGACTTTTCACTATTTAGGGTGCACTTATATGATTTGTACCTTTAATAGATAAAGATCCTGATATTTTTTTTTAGTTTAATTACAATTTAGGAGTAGACTCCAATGATCCTAGGGGCCTGAGAGTAGCGTCTACAGGGATTTGTGTCCCCCCCATAATATAAACAGCTATAAGCCATTACTGAATTCAACTTTGGTTATAGCTTTACAGTTTTAAAAGCTATTTGGGATTGCACCTAGAGTGAAACATTTGCAAGTACTGCTTCCAACTATTGTTGGTAAATTGCTTTTTGATTGGCTGAAAAAAAACCAACAACCAATGGTGACATGGTATCTGAAGCTGACCAATGTGCCGGTGCTGACACCATTTGTTTCTTGTATCAAATAGGAAGTCAGACAGCAAAAGCTACTCATTTGCATACGCTCCCTATAAATACTAGGGCAGCTGTGCTATCAGTATGTTATTGTTCTTGAGTTATACTGCGAACGCAAACTGCTACCATGCCAGAGCCGGCAAAATCTGCCCCTGCCCCTAAAAAGGGTTCTAAGAAAGCTGTGACCAAGACTCAGAAGAAAGGGGATAAGAAAAGGAGAAAGACGAGGAAGGAGAGTTACTCTATCTACGTGTACAAGGTATTGAAGCAAGTTCATCCTGACACCGGTATCTCCTCTAAAGCCATGGGGATCATGAACTCCTTTGTAAACGACATCTTCGAACGTATCGCTGGGGAAGCGTCTCGCCTGGCTCATTACAACAAGCGCTCAACCATCACTTCTCGGGAGATCCAGACCGCTGTGCGCCTGCTTTTGCCGGGGGAGCTGGCCAAACATGCGGTGTCTGAGGGCACCAAGGCTGTCACCAAGTACACTAGTTCCAAGTAAACTTTCAAAACTTTTTTTTCAGCTATAACCCAAAGGCTCTTTTAAGAGCCACTCACCTTCTCAATGAAGGAGCTGTATTACTATTTTATTTCTATCTACACATAATAGCTAGTGTATAGGAAAAATAGGAGTTCCTTTTCAGACAAACCCTAAATAGAACTTCACTACAAACTAAAGCTTTATTTGCTCTACTTCAGTTACTAATTTTCTTTGGTGGTTAAAATAGGATGGTTTAAATGTATTGCTTTAAAGAGTACTCCAACTTCCCTTCTAAAAGGTCACCCCCACCCCTCGCCAAGGAGCACGAAGTCTAGCGCTATAGGTTTGTGTTTGATCTGAGTCTCTAGTGTGTATCGTAGTGGAAATACTGTAGAGCAGGTAAGTAAGGATAAGAATAAGGTATTTGAAGTCTAAACTGACTTGACTTACTACATTTCATTTTCCTACAGTTCCTGATATGAGGAACTCCCCAGAGCCTTGTGAGCAGGTTAAAAAAAATTTCAGGATACTTTTAATCTCTATAGCTTTGATTAGAGCTCCTAATATAGATTTAACTTAGAGAATTTTTCACTTGATACTATGTATGCCCAACAAAACATTCTATTGTCCTCCGTTTCATAACTTTCTGAAAGTTATAGCTAATGCACAGAGACTGTTTTCGCCATCTTTGAGCGTTAGAAAAATTTGGGGGGAGCTGTTCTCACTACTACTGAAAAGAATATCCTTGCAAGGCACGCTGAACAGTTGTAAATCCCGACTGAGGAAACGTGTCTAGAGTATCACAGTGAAAAGCATATGCCGTGCAGTAAATGTGTACTGTTCCCGAAAGGACGCCTGCATTGCACGTACTAGGGATTTCATCATCTGTGTGGTGGATGTGACCTTCGATTGAGTCAGTTGTGCAGTGATACGTAATTTCTGTGTTGAAAACCTTGGTATTCTAAGGTTCTTTACCCGACATGTCCTCTTAATAAATAATTTAAATTAATAAATAGCAGGATGGTTCACTACATCATTATCGGTTTTGATCTTCTAATATTAACTAGGCGGGCATAGGTATTGAGCGGGAGAAGGTATAGCTAACGCACTAGGGCGGTTATTGGTAACGAGAGCGAATAACAAAAGATAAAGGCTAACCACGCTGTATATTAGTCAACAGTGAAAACAAAACTAGGGAAGACTCACATGCACCCTCCGCCCATCAAGATACGTGTTCAGATTTTAAACGTGTATGTCAGCGCAGGATGCCCGGCTTTAAACACGGGCGGGAGAAGGACCAATCCTTGCACAGCGCGGGCTTTTCAAACCCTCCACCAATTTAGTTCTGCTTCCCGTAGCCAGTCAGGTAATTGTTTCTAAGCCAAACATTTACTCTTTGTCCCCACACTAGATCTCGTCCCCCTCTGTATGTAGGCAGAACAAAGAATGAGCTGAGCACCACTTAAAGCGTACCAGGGGAGGGGGGAAAGTATTCCCAAGAGGAACTATTAGAAACAGTATCCACAAAAACAAGGAGGCTGGAGGCACCTTAAACACTTAGATTTATTTGGGCATAAGCTTTCGTGGGTAAAAACCTCACTTCTTCAGATGCATAGGAAGAAGTGAGGTTTTTACCCACGAAAGCTT